TCTGGACGCACGTTGGTCATTTCCGACTAACCGCGATCATAATGAAACATAACACGTTACGAGATGTTTTGGTTCCTGAAATCAGGTCTTACTTCACGCGTACCGGATTTGCCGTATTGAGGTTACTCAAAACGTGCTCATTAGATTGAGACAGATGTGGATTCAATTATGCTTCTCGTTTGTTTGTGTTCGACCGGAGTGTTGCTGGTTTTTCTATTCGTTAATAGAATTCCAGATAGAATATTCTAATAGAGTATAACACGGAAGTTGTTCTTGTTTCAGAAACATCAATCCTTTGTTCGAGATGTTGCATCGCACCTCGCCCGAATTGTTTCGTTCCTTGCGCATTCTACTCGGCTGTGAACCCTTGATTCCACCCGTGATCAACAACACCAGCCACATGGAAATTGGATCGGTCCCCGGTGTCCCGTCTCCGATTGGTGCACTTTTGAGTGCTGTTAGTAGACCGGACGGAAAAACGGAACCGCTTTTATCAGCCGCACCCGGTGTGGTACCACTCGGACCCTCAGTTGTCCGACGTCCCAGCACGCCACCATTGGCGTCTGGTAAGCTAAAACCTACAGGTTTGTTTATGCTCCCCTATCAAGGTTATTCAGTTGTTTCACAAGCTGTTCCAGTTGTTAGCACCCGCTGCTCGACAATGTTGGTATGTTACACTCCCTCCCGCAGTTGTCGTCATAGGCCATTTCGGTTTCGTTCTTTCGTGATGATACTGACTGATTGTCGTATACCCTTTATCGATCAGCCCTTGATCGCACAATGGTGTTTGGTAAAAAAACGAATAAAAGCATACAATGGGTCAAGAATGTTCTTCAATGTTCTTTAGAGGACAGCCAATAAGAAACCCAACACTGTCCCTTTGAATTTTGATACTTCTGAAAACTACTCTTTGATGCCAATTTCATTTTTATGTTGTTATTCACAGTCACTCGTGAGTCGTGTTGCAATGGACTGATCATCCTTCGGAATTCACCTTCACAATCCTCGGTTCACTTGGTCAATCATACATTCGGGAAACACTAGACTGGAATTTAACTCAGTAAGACTCCCGATAGTCCGTCTCCCCTGCTTCGTTCGGGTATTGAACTCATCAAAGGGAAGGCGTATGTTACTACTGTGTCACCCAGCTCACACCGAGGCTGATCCGAACCACGAAATCATTTTTTAAATTGATGTCTTCAACGATAGCCAGTCAATTCATTTTTGACCTGAAAGCAACGGAAGGAAACTCAGTTAACTATCCACTTACTCTAATAAAATGCATTCAGCTAAATCAGGTCTTCTATACAGGTTCAGGCAGTCTGAACGTAATTAAACTTACTAGGCCCGATTTTTAGTTCACATTTGTGGGTAATAATACGTGAACATATATCATGATGTTAATGCGGACAGTTTTCTTTTTCAACACATAGGTCAATGTATCTTTTCCAACTTTTGGGTCTTATCTCCTCTCCTAGTAGGACCTTCTGAGACTGGGGCGCTCACCGATCCACGCTTAACTCGAGGTCTCGCAGCTACTCGTGTGGGAGTAGTTTCCCCCAGTTTACCTGTCACTGTTTCCCAGCCGGATGTAGCTAGTCCCAAACCTGTCTTGGAAGCTTCCATACCTTGCACCAACCAGGTGAACGCAATCTCGTCAACACCCCCTCCACCACTGTTACAACAGCCTTCTCCATCGGCACTGACCAATGTGGAAAGTCCAACAATATCAGATGAGATCACCGCGCGAGGTGGAGGAAAGCGGAACTGTCTAACACTCCCCGCGACAACACGTGCGGTGTCCAGTGCCACCGTTGCAGAACCACCCCTTCTTTCGGAGGATGATCTGGACCAACTGGAAATTGATAGTATTAGTCATAGTGACTCGACACTGTCGCGCGCATCCTGGAGTCCACCCCCATTACCACCATCGCAACATGCCTTCCGTTCGAGACAGGAACAGTTACCTGACACACCGGAATCAATGGAGTTTGCGATCGGTAATTTGCAAGCGTAAATAGTAATCCGTTACGCAGTGATTTGCCTTCACAATATTAGCGTCTTTTCCATCCATATATTTGTACATGTTAAATACAATGCAATTCAGATCGATTAATTGATAACAATGTATGGTCTTTCGCTTTGAGCTTTACTCGTTTTTGTGATTAATTCTGCTCGGTTCTTCTTCCTTCCGTTTGTAGGAATGACAAACTAAATCATTTGCTTTAGTTATCCGTCTCGAAAATGTTTTTGTATTCCCAATGGGACTGATTTTTTTACGATACATCATGTCTTTGTCAAGTTACATGTATGATAAGCTATAACCAATGGTAATAACCGTAGACGAATAGGTTACTAGATTACTGCATGCAATATCATTATCCGTTTGTATGGCCAACTCTAATGAGGAAAATGCTGTTATCTTTTTTATAATTTCAATGAATTCGTGTGGCGCTCACTGGCCTCTTGTTGTTCTTTCTTAATTGTGTTAAATCTCAGACAATCTGCGACAACGTTTTCAAGAATATCAGCTATGGTACCACTATTCGGTCAAACCAGTTGACGTGAATACTCTGATCGAACAACTCGATGGTCCCATTCGAACCGCACTGGAGAGTTTTCGCGATTTGGCCATAAAAGTTGGTCTCGTTCGGAATACGGGTACAATGGTGTGTGCAGATCGCCTTATTCCACGTGACCCAGATCCGGATGTGATAAACGGTTGTGTAGATCAACAACGTCTGAGTACCGGTATGTTCGTTCACTTCCGGCTCAATGAATATAAGTTCTTACTTTATCAAGAGAAAAAGCACTTCACCCAAAGAAACTAATTCAATCAAGCCAACAAAAATCTCAATTAGGTTTTCTTTCGTAAATTAAAACATGCGGAAATGACAAATTATTAAAGTGATGTGTTTGCTTTTCAACAGTGTGCTGGGCAGTCACATCACAATATTGTTTGGTTACGGAAACCAGTATTCTTAGTCCTCGAACTCGAAGTAGCAAACCACATAAATGTCCAACAATGTATGGTTGTTATTGATCACAGCAGAGTTGCCGTTGGTCGATTTGGTTTGGTACTGAAATATTTCCGACCTCGGATCTTCAAGCTCAGTACATACTAGTTACAGTGACTTGGGTCGCTCGACTACCATCATGTACTGGCTTTGCATATGACGGGAACTTCAATTTACTATTCATTTGCATTTTGCGATTCATTCTCTTTCTCACTGTTTGCACCTACAATATTTGTTTGCTTCGGTTTTGAAATAGAAGTACACGATCAGCTTGTGCTCCTGGTTTCCGCTCTGAAACTGCCAGTGATAGTCACCAAGAGCCGAGCACCCTTATGCAAAGTTAACGGTCATCTGTGCTGTATTGGTTATTCTAGGCATGTCCTGCAAGCGTGGGGATAAGGGGGGGGGGGGTAGAGCTGATCGCGTAAACGTAAAAGTAGAATAAGAACTACCGCGTCATTCTTAAAGTTCAATTAAACGTGAAAGCATCGTCCGTGAGGCCCACAAAACAGCGCTCTTTTCGTTCTATCAGACAGGGTTCGAAAAGTTCAGGTCTATAAGTACAGAGACATTTTGATCATTATCATTTAATCCCACGCTTAAACCAAGCAACGCGTCAGTACTGCGCGTAATGTAAACTGAGACGACTATTCACAAATCGTCATGTAGTTTGTGTTCGTTCTCATGGTTAGTCCCCGTTGTACTCTTCCTTTATCCAAGTCGACTAGTAAGTTGATTCGATGGTTCCCACTTATTGAAAGGATAGTTTGTCCCACGAGTCACTGGAACAATGTCTCTAATTTACAATGCATTTGGGGCGGACATTACATCGATTAGATCGTGCACCCTTCGGGTGGGTCTCACAAATTCAGGTCACCAAATACACCTATTACCCAATACAGTCAGTGACTCTATATGTGCAACTCTGGAAGTCTGTTGGCACGCCTCATCATGAGCCGTTTGGGATCAAACTTTGCCAACTACTCTAGACGATCTAATTTTTTGTCTCATGAATCCGGTTGTAATTTTAGATGTTGACCTTCCTCACCCTCATTTCGTTGAAAAATCACCCCATCCCCTCACGACAAAGTAGTAACATACTCTTACTCTGTGGATATCAGGCGAAAATATTCACCTACCGAAATACTCACCTCGATTACGCTGGGGCATTCAATCAAACCAAATTTTAATCATGCTATTCTCGAATGTCTAAGTTTACTTCTTTAAACTAAAGCGATATATTCGTTCTTGCTGTAGTACATACATTTCCTGAACAACTTGTAGTCTTCTGGCAGTCGGAAAGCATGTCATTCATTGGCACCGGACAGGTTTACGGTTTCAGATCACTTGTTTCTCACGATTACACACACAAAATGTAATTGCTCAAAGCTAGAGTTCCGAGTGTTTCTTTAATTACCAGTTTTTTGTTACATATTTATGTAATTCTTTTGTTAATTTGTCCCCCGGATGACCTCAAAATAACGTAAACTGTTGTCGTTGTCCGTGAACAGTACGACTCCGATCTGCTTTGGTTTTACGCGAACTGTGCGAAGCCATGGAGATCTTTGTACAGGCAGTATTGGATGAAGACTGTTTCGACGATCTGGTCGTTGCAGCACGAGTCGCGTCTGTGGTATGCGAATTGCTCTACCCATTGTTTGCCGAGCGCCTGATGCCAACCGGTCCTGAGTGGTCTGAAGAGTAGGTGTTGTATTTACGAACTACTTGACTTTTTCTCGTTTTTCTAACCCCCTGGAAACAATTCCCCCTCCAATTCTTTATCATTATTTAAAATCTAAAAAGGTCGCTTCTACCCTAACTCCAGCCCAAACTCTGGCTTAGGTGTGTAGATGACGTTTGTTATTCTGAAGCGATCGGAAGTGAACAGAACTTTCAATGGCATCAATATCATCCCGGATATCGAGTTTACCGTGGCAACACAACAAAATGACAAATTGGCATTCCTGAATGTCCTAGTAAGAAGACCATTGTCCGGCCCATTAGAAACATCAGTATACAGGAAGAAAACCCACATGGATCAAATTCTGGGATACACCACCAACCACCCAACTTATCACAAGAAAAATTACATTCGGACACTTTTCGGAAGGGCCAAAACACTGCAGCATTGAAAACTTGATGCAGCAAGAGGAGAAATGCCTCTATCAAGTATACCTCGGCAACAGCTATACCTGCAACTGCGTCAAACGAACAATAACTGCAACAAAACACACAAGAACAAATAAGCAGCCGAAACAGCGAATAACCCTACCGTGTATGAAGAGCATTTCTAAAATGACCGCGAAAATACTGAAGCCGCACAACATTCAAATCGCCCACAAACCAATGACAGCCCTAAGGAGTTTCTGTTTATACAACCATTAACCATGCACTATCGTGCGCCGATTTCGATTGCCGTTTTTTGGCTGCACATTTGGTTGCATATTAGGAGAGAGACAGGAAAGGTTGAACGTAGAATCGAAAAGACAATTTAGGATTTCATTGCACTAATTTTACAGAGAAATCGACAAGATGCACGAGCGTCACTGTTTACGACACCCAGCCATATCATTCAGTGTCTCTAACCATCGGGTATGATCATCCCGAGGTCCCCATCCTGGGAGCCTAACGGGACCTATGTGACCTATGTCTCCTGGTTAGGGTTTTCATACCCTCGTGCTAGGTATTTCCTTGACCATCCGTGGCTTTTTTCCACTCGGTGTCTGCTTCGGCGAACATCGCTCACAATGGTAACCTATCTGGTGACATGCGCAACACATGTCCCAACCAACGTAATCTATGGAGGTCGACCACTTGCTCCAGTGGGCGACCGCGGATACCCAAAACTCTGCGCCTCATCTCAGCATTGCTAGTCCGGTTACCCCACCAGATTCGTGCAATGCTGCGTAGACAACGGTGTTCGAAAACCGACAGTCTGTCTTTATCCTGTTTTCTTAATGGCCAAGTTTCTGCACCGTATAGCAGAACTGGCCGAACCGTTGCGGCATACACTTGACCCTTCACAGACAGCCGAATGTCGCGACGGTGCCACAGATGTCTCAATTTGGCAAATGCCAACCAGCTGACTATGGTGACAAACTGGATTGCGCACCTTGGACGTGTGAGCCCATCCCAATGGCGTATGATCCGAATAACAACACCACCAACCGCGCAATGGGTTGCTGTTTGCACACGCCACTGCAGCTTTGCTAGTCAGGCTTGGGTTATTTGAAGATTCAAGCATGTGAAAATTTCGCCGCCAAAATATTCTCAGACACTCACCACCCATTACACAATAAATTTTCAAAGACTGTACCTACGTCGTCCACACGTTCAAGATTTAAACTTTTATTTGCACGTACCTCTGCTTATCGTAATTCTGTTCTGCCATATCTAGCACCTCTACGTATAAACAAGGACAAAATTTCCACAGAATTGCGCCCCCGTTTGTTTCATTGATAAACACCCTATTGCTTTTAGTTTCATTATGTAATCATTTTGTAAATTTGAATCCACAAATATGGTGTAATTGCTGAAAATACACCCTTCCGGGTGCATAAAGCTACTATTGACTTGACTTGACCGATTCACACCATGCAGTTGGAACTTGTTCTCTGTCCCACACTGAGCCCAGGAGTTTTGGTAACTCCGAGACTAAGGCTGAGCCCCCATCCTTAAAAGCCGATGGGGACTGCCCGTCTAGGCCGGAAGCCTTATGCCTTTTGAGATAACTTATTTCTCGGGAAACCTCCATTTCAGATGGAGGACTGGCATCCACTGACAGTATTTGCTCAGTCAACGTGGAGTGTGAAAGATCAGATGTCGATGGGGGGGCAGTTGAACTGAGCCTTGAAATGTTTAGCCCAACGGTTAAGACGGCATTGCTGATTGTGAATCTGTGTTCCATCGGAATCCTTAATTACCTCACGCCTATTTTCCTAGGGCCATTATTCTTAATCAGATGTAAATGATTGTTACTATTACCAATAGCCTCAGCGTTCCCCCTCTCTTAACGGTTTCCTATCTGCCAGTTCTCGCAGTCGTTCCTCAATCGTCATCGCTCGCCGTGGCAATCTATTTGGTGACATGCGTACACATGTCTCAAGATTACCAGACTGATCGATCAACTACCAGCAGTCAGACTGCTCGCGTCCACCTCATCCCTTATCGGCACAAGGCACACGGACATCAGTCAATCAGACAGCGCCACGTTTCTACATCACTCATCCCTAAAAGCCTGTGTGGTCGGGGTAGGGTCTCTAGAGTTACGGTTGGTCACCTCTCCGTTGCACCTATCAAAATGCTCCCATAGGACCTAGCATCTCGAATATCCTTTGCTGAGGAAGCCCTACTCATTGCCTTCTGGTGGCGGAGATGTCTTCGCACCAAAGTGAGAGGACGAAAAGCCGACATCCGGGGCTATAACCGCGTTTGTAGACCACTGGTGGTGCTTCTGAGGCAGTTGGCCAGAAACCCTGATTCCAGACCAACCAAGAAGAGGCGTACAAACCAAAGATCTCTTCCGAGTTGTGGCAGTGGTCGCCGGCTCGATCGGGCATTGAGGTGTATTGGGCACCTTGGACGTTTGACCCCGTTCGAAAGGCGTACGATCAGATGAACTGAACACCGGCTCCTAATGAAGTGTGGTTTTCACACACTGCCCCACTGCCTTGCGGGTCAGACTTTGGCTAGCCAAAT